AGAGGTGGCAGAATATTTGCATAATTGTTCTCAGTTTCTGCTCTCACCTGAGCCTCAGATTTAACCCTCGGGCTACACACGGACTTGAAGATGTAGAAATCTGAAAACTTTGGAGGTGGAATTGATCATTTCAGGTATGGTTCAAGATTGTACATCTAGATCCATTCCTAAATAAAATATTTAAAATATATATAAAATAAATTACTATTGTGGAGTCGTTAGCGGCATTACGTCACATTTTGTGGACCAGGAGGCAGACTATGACCATATCCCTGGAAGAGATTATGTGCGGATACAGGTGTGGCTGAGTGGTTAGAGCAGTTGTCCTCCAATGTAAGAGTTGGGGGTTCGATTCCACCAGCAGTCACATGCCAAAGTGTCCCTGAGCAAGACACTGAACCCCTCATTGTCTCTGATGTGTCCCATCGGTTTATGAATGTGATAAAGCTCTGATTATTCCTTGTATATTGTAGAGTGCTGTATGAGTGGGTAAATGAGGACACAGATTGTAGTGTAAAGTGCTTTGAGTGTCTTGATAAGATAGAAAGGTGCTTTAGAAGTACAGTCCATTTACTTTGGTCTCTCTTCCATGCTCTCTGATCATTGTACAACCAAGCCCAGAGATGTAGAGCCATAATCTTAAAGCAGAGCTCAATTCTGCTGCAGGTTAGCCAGGACTGCCTCTTGTCTTAGATTTTGTTTGTGGTCTTTATAGACAAGAGGTTTCAAGGAGTAGTCATAAACTGAGGGTGTCTGGTTTGGATCGTCTTTGCTTTTCAGAATATATTTGAGCAGTTAGCCGTTACCCAGCCTGGATACGAATCTGTTCCACTTAGTTTAAGATCACAGTTCTCAACCTAAAAAAAAAAAACTCTAGGTTGAAGGTGAATTTTTGCCACAAGCGTAGGTGTTCAAGTATCTTGGCATTTTGTTTTCAAGTGATGACAGAATGGAGAGAGATGACTGTTAAGGGCTTTGTGTGTAATAAGGAAGCTGTTCTGGCCTTTTGCAGTAAAGGAGCTTTGCTAACGATTTATGACTTATGTTAAGAGATAATATTCAGACACGAGACTGAAATAAGTCTCTTTCAGGGCGGATGGGTCCTGCCTTAGAGATGGGGTGAGGAGCTCCATCAATTAGGAGTTCTGTCAACTGAGGAGGTTCACACATCTGATCAGGATACCTCCCTGGCTCCTCCTCTAAGAGGTGTTTTGGGAATGTCCTGTTGTAGGGAGCCCCTAGAGAAAACCCAGAACCTGACAAAAAGAGTATGTATCCTGGGAACACCTTGGGATCCCCCAGGAGGAGCTAAAGAGAGCTCGTGTGGAGAGGGAGATCTTTGTTTCTTCTCCTGCTCCCTCTGCACCTCAACATCCTACTAACAGTTGAAAATGGATGGTTGAATAAAAAGTTTGATGTTTACTTTGTTGTGTTTATGGATCCATCTTTTAGGACTTGAGAAGAGACTAAAGTTGCAGCAGCAACCGCTACAACCAGCTCACTCATTTTTTCCCCAAAAAAAACGCTCTTCTATAAATTATTTTTCAGAGTACAAGTTAGTAAAGCAGTTATTACCTTTGGTAAATTTTAAAAAAAAAAAACACACAGGCCAAAAAAATATAACAAAAGTGTTGTTGAAGAATTAGCATTCAGCTTTCCTGACTTCTAGAGCAGTGGTTTTCAAACTGGAGCTCCCAGACCCCCAGGGGTCCACGAGCCACTGCTTGGAGGTCCGCCAAAAAAAAAAAAAAATTGTTTTAATTTTTTATTTTTAAAAGCGCATAGATGTTTAACAACCCATTAAAATACACCAAAACTGTAACTTTGGAAGATGAAATTAAAAATGTTGTTAATTAAATGTGTCTTGAATGAAAAATACCCGTTTAAAAGTATAAAAATTGTATCGACACTATTAAAGAACAGGTATTAATTATTTATGTTACACAAATATTTCCATTGCATTAAAGAGACACATTGAAGAAAAGTATTTACAAACATGAGGGTTATGGGGGTTTCCCTGAACCCAAAAATGTTTGAGAGCCACTGGTCTAGAGGACAGCATTGGCAATAGAATAACTCGTATTGGTTGACCTCTAGTCGCATGAAGAGAGGTGAACTTTAGCCCAATTCATTTGCTCTGACATGTATTTAGAGTCGAGGCCAAAGGGAAGTTTGAACAAACTCAGGACACATTCGGAGGTGACCTGGGATACTTGTGTCTACACTGAAAGCCCATCAGACACAAGTTCCCACAAACAGCAACAAGATCAACATAAACATGGAAAAAGCTTTTAAAATTTCAATTTGTGCAGACATGTGGATATTTAGCTCTACAACTCAGCTCGAGTGTTTATGCTTCCAACACAATGGCTTCAAATAGTTGGATGTGTGTGTGTGTGTGTGTGTGGAGGGGGGGTACAGGCATAAAAACAGTGTACTCCCATATGTACCCGTGTTTGGAGAAGGATTTTCTCCAAAGCCCAGATCATAGAACACTTTAAACCTAACAAAACCCTCAAACAAAACCCCACAGGGTAAAACAAACGAATGAAAGCGGAGCTGCATCCAGTGCAGCGAGAAGCGCTCAGACCTTTGTATAGAGGAAACCAAACGACCCCTTCACAAGCATTTGGTCCAAAACAAAGAGCCAAACCACCTGGTCAAGAGTCAAGACAGCTGTCCACCTACATCGCAAGGAAAAAGGAAACTCTTTTGAAGAGAGGACAGTCCACACTCCTGGCAGAGAAAACAAATGGTTGGAAAAAGAAGAAATACGTCTACATTGTATTCAATGTGGAAAAACAAGCAAGTCTACACTCGCACTGCAACTTTGACCGTCCTCTCTTCATGGTTTTACACCAAGTTCCATCTTAAGTTGTTGCGATAATATATACATATATATATATATATATATATATATATATATATGTATATAGTTTTGTTTTTTATGACGTGTGCTGCTGAGAGAGTGACAGAGAGAGTGAGAGAGAGAAGATGCTGAAGATATTTACATATTTGGGTTTACGATAGCAGGGACTCTGCTTTTTGGCATCGGCAGGTCTCTGTTTTATCGACTTTTGAAGAAGACATCGGCAGCAGTTTCGGCCATGGAAAAGCTTCCGAGTCAGTGTGAAGGTCTGGTCCGTGCTGTAGGAACTCTAAATCAACTGGTTTACGAGCTAAACCGTAAGGTGGAGGCGATTTATGAGAATCGCAGGCCACCTGCGGCTTCAGGGACTCGTCAGCGTGGTGGGTTCGACCTTGAGGGAGACTCATCGCATGGATGAGTGGAATGGAATCCCACAATTAGGCTATTTTGGAACCAGAACGTCCAGATGGACTTGAGGCTGAAGAAAAAAGTAATTGTCTGCCTGAAGAAAAACAAAAATCAAAGCTCATCTGAATCTGACTCCCGATGGCCTCGGAATGGGCCGACTATCAAATTTCTCCTGGGTCATGGGTAACCAAGAACAAAAGCTTAATGTATTGTACCCACCCCCCACCCCCAAGAACTTTCTGTGCAAGCTTATCAGAACTGCTGACTGAAACAACATCTTTAGAACTGTGGCATGGACATAGTTGTTCTTGTGGACAAATCTTAACACCGTGACGTTAAATGCATATGTAATCATGTTTTAATTGTGCTTGCTGGTAGAGGTTTTTTTTTATGTCTCAAATCGTGTCCTGATAGAAAAGATGGGAAAGATCTTTTTTTGTAATACCACCATCTACCCTCTTGTTTCTCCCCCTTTTCCTATCTAAGATTATTATTCTGATAAAGGATAAGAGAGGCTAGGCTTATAGGCAAAAGGCAGGAGAGACAGCCCATGTCACATCAAGGGGCCTCCCTCCCATTTTTCTTAGAGAAGAGCTGCTCGCTCCCACACTATCCATTCTTCAGTTCAAACAGTCTTATACTGCCATCTAGTGGTCAAAATAGGTACTACATGCAAAACAAATTAAACATTTCTTCTTAAATTTGACAATAATTACTTATTATTGTCAAATTTCAAACAATATTATCGTTTATCGCAATAATTTCTGAGACAATTAATCAACCAGCAAAATTTGCTATCGTGACAGGCCTACTAGCTCCATTTTTCTCTCCTGGATCGAAGAGGCGTTTTCTCAGACCACGACTTAAAAAGATTCAGGTTTACAGAAAGCCTATTACGCTAAAATGAACAAAAACACGAGCAAACCATTAATGGGGTGTTATATATGGTACATTAGCTCAAGCAGACACACACCGGTACATACACAAACATGCATACACAACAATAATCTATAGCAGCATCCCTCCTTTCCTGAGCCTGAATACACTGCTTTCTGACTTCATAAGGTGTTATGAGCCTTAACTTCAGCAGAGTACCAAACAAAGCAGCTGTTAATAGCTAAAGAGCCACTTGGTAACCTCCCACCACCAAAAGGCACAAACAGGCACACACATACAAACGTGCACCTTTAATGACATCTTTTCTGCGGCACATTAGCTATTGTGCTGTAATTAATGGGAGGGTCATGGCATTCATAAAGCCAGACTTCTCTTCGCAGACCAAGAGCTATACGCCACAACAACGGATTAATGAGTAAATACACAGTGCGTCTCATGAATAAATTATTTGTGCCTCGCAATTAATTTTCCCTATTGAAGTTTGGTGGGGAAAAAGAAGAGAAAAGCCAAACTGTTAGTAGTCTTCATAAATCAAACATTGGAGAGGAGGAGAAGATGACAGCAACTTTGTGTGTGCTTGAGATCAACTGCAATGTGTTTATCGTTGTCAAGCTTTTGTCTGTCTGTCAGTTTGAGTTTTTAATAAATCCCTTTTTGCCAGGTCTTAATAGTTACGCGTTTGTGCTCAAGTTGTGTGCGAGATATTGGAGTATTTCACACATTTTAAATTAATTTAGTTTTCTTGTTTTTATCAGTCAGTTGTAGAGCAAATAATGTTAAGTACATTATAAATGTGTGTGGGTGCTTATGTAGTCAGAAACCTTACCGAGAGAAGCTTCCACGTTATTGGTCGGACCTGTCGTGGGATTCCAGACCAGCTGAGTTTCCGTAGTTCCTCTGTAGGACATAGAAAATAATAATAATAAATAACATAAGTGTTCATTGTAGAACAGGTATGTTTCACACAACTTCTCCATGAAACATATTTCATTGCAGAACCAAAACTGTTCCAAAGTTTTAATCACCAACAGTAAAATGTAGATTCTTTCAAAGAGTTTGGTATGAAAATTAGTCATTCCTTGCCATGATTTTCATTGAAAATTTATGATTTTCATTTAAATTTCTGCCACTTCTTTGTGATAATTTAAAGGGAGATTGTTCTTGTGTCTTGGGAATACTGTCAGATGGGGCTGCAAAGATGCACTGCATACACATCTGCTTAGACTCATGTTCAGGCAGCTGTATAAAACACCTTATTATATTATATTATTACTATTTAGCATACATCTGAGATCTTTGCATACTGTGTCTTTTTTATAGTTTATATTATTGCTATTTTTGGGTGTAACTGGGATCTTGACTACACGGTTTCGGTCCACCTCATATACCACATGTGATACGAATGACAATAAAATCACCTTGAACCTTGATTTTGCAGAGGGTGCACCATGTTATTGACTGCATTGGTTCTACTAGATGTGGTGCAGTTTGCTCTGCCAGTTTACAGGTGGTTCATTCATAAAATCATAGATTAAGCCAATGAGTAAATGATGTACAACAGCCAGTTTGTTGGAGAGTTGTGTGTGGCTTGAAATATGGCTGCTGCTTGCCTGAGTACATTACCTTTCTATTCCTTTGGCAGAAACTGAAAGCCATTTGTTTTTTTGACATACAAGCCAAATGTTGACAAGTTAAAACTTTTTATGAAGTGAACAGGAACTTTGATTTGTTTAAACCATTTTAAAGACGCATACATACAAAAACTAAAAAAATGCAGTACTTTCCGCCGTACAAGTCGCATCAGTCCAAAAGTGACAAAAAAAAACAAAGACTGTAAGTCAATTCGCTGTATGCGTCGCATCTGTTATGCGTCACTGCTGACCACCCGGAAACGTGGGCCGGTGTGTCAAAAATCGATTGGCTGCCAAAACTGAGGCCATGGGAGTGCGCACGGGAGGACTTAAACAAGAATTTAACAAAGGTGAACACTTAAAAACAATTATTTGCTTGACATTACAACAAAGGTGTGTCTCAGTTGAACTTTTCCTTAATAAATGCACTTTGATGGTAAAATCTGCTGCATTTCAACTGGGCGCCGCGGCGAAATGCAGCTGATTTGACGTTTGCTCCAGGAGTTCTGGAGCGAGACGACGGTGACTTTCTATGGCAAGCTAAGTATCTCATTAATAGCCACTTTTACCTATTAATGAGACACTTGGCTTGCCTCAAGGCTCGAGGGTCCTCTAGCGGCTGCAAATGGTAATGTTCAATATTTTCCATGTCAGAATGAATGAAATCGTCAGATCTCAGTCAAAATTTCGGTTATAAATATGGGGAAAAAAACGTATATTAGTCGTTGCAGTGTATAAGTCGCAGGACTTGCAAATTTATGCAAAAAGGTGCGAGTTATACACCAGAAAATACAGTACACACAAATTTGAGAGAAAAAGGTCTATATTGTGTACGTAGAAAAAGTCTTAGGTCTTTGAGTTCAGGTCATGAGAAATGGGAGCAAAAACAAAAGTGTTGCATTTATATTTTTGTTCATTATAGTTGGAAATTTGAACCATTTATGACTAAAGGACTAAAGTTAAACAGCTGATGTGAAATGCATGATTGGCTGTCAGTCTATTTTGGAAGCGTTTTTGTTTATGCGGTCTTATGATGGCAGTGGTGTGGGATTTTAATAGTCATTTCTTGAAATGACTTCCTATCCAACCAATCGGGTATCATCGCTGTCACTTTTGCTTTTTCAAGTCTATTAAGCAAGTTGTCACTAACGAAGTTCCTTGTAAAAAATACCAGTAAAATTAAATAGTTTTTTTTTTATACTGACAAGCAATTAAATACAAAACAAACTAAAGTTGAGACAAGCTTGTAGCGAAAGCAAAGTTATTTTTTTCTGGATGTATGTCTAGATTACCATAAATGTTTATTTAAACAGTTTTACAGACAATTTCTGATTCCCGGCTTAATATAAGTGCTCACATCAGTCTTAAATATCCTACATAAAACCTCCATAATGGGCCATCTTTCTCTAGACTGACTGCATACTAAACGAGTCAAACAACCAACCAACCATTTCCTCATCATCTAAACTTTCATTCCTGTGTGTCTTTCTTGTATTGAATATATATGATGGGTTAGAAGTGGACTATTAACTACTTTTTCCCCAGGCTGGATGTGGAAGCCTGCAGGTTATATTGCAAAATGAATCTGACGGAAAGGTGCAAATTAAACTTTTAAATTGGTGGAGAGTAATCCCCTTTGGCTCCACGAAGACCTGGAAAATATGGCTTAATGCAAGGAGTTAGCCAGATAATATATATTCGGTCCAACACACACGATGGCAGCGTATGATGAGGGAGTATGTGCATAGCAGAGAAAAGTGCTTTGTCTTGTGGTTTTCGGCATGCCGTTATTCAATTTTATGCTGTTTTGGGTGAAACAAACAGAACAGAAGATGTATGATCTAATTTCTCAGCACAAAAACAGGCCATGTTATCAAAACATTTACAGTACTTTGGGATTCATTTTTTAAAATTTATTAAGAGTTCTTGTTTTTGATTTCTTTTACCGTTAATCAAAGAAGCTACTTTTGTTTTCCACTTCAACTGCAAGTGTGTTGGTGAAGCTGACACAGGATCAGCAGTACAGTGAAATGTGTTGTATGAGAGAAGTTGGCATAGTCGGTTCAAAAGTTTAGGTTGCTGAAGTAAGATTAGGAAATGTCTGTGTGTAAAAGTTATTCACAGTGGAATAGTGATGTAAGTATATAACTGTATTGCATAAATATTGTAGTAGGTAGGCCAGACAGAATAGCAGTATCACACCGTGCTGTGTGCAAGGGTATGTGAAATATATATAAAATATTAATGCCTTGTCTCACGTTTGTGTGTCTGTGACTTATTGTGATATGTAGTTCAAAGAAAATAACGCCACAGTATTCTCTTTTTACATATCTGTTAAGAACACATCGAGTGATCACCAGTAGAGTCAGGTTCCCATAGATATTAGCCAAGTTGTACAGTTCTATAACATGTAGCAACTTGGAAGCATTACATATGAAAAAAGGTTACAAAGAAGGAACTTAACAAAAATGTACAATCTCAAGTTTAGCAATACAAATGCTCATTTTCAACTTCCATGGTATTGCGGCATATTTGTGGTTATGTAATGGAATGGTAATGGGGCAGATGTGGCTGAGTGGTTAGAGCTGTCGTCCTCCAATGGGAGAGTTGGGGGTTTGATTCTACCAGCAGTCACATGCTGAAGTGTCCCTGGGCAAGACAATGAACTCCTCATTGCCTCCAATGTGTGTCCCATCAGTGTATGAATATGAATTAAGCACTGATTAGTCTTCGTAAAGATATAGTAAAGTGCTGTATGAATGGGTAAATGATTGTTTTGTAAAGCGCATCGAGTATCTTGATAAAATAGAAAGGCGCTGTATAAGTAGGCCTGTCAGGATAACAAATTTTGCTGGTCGATTAAATAGCTCAGAAATAATTGCGATAAACGATAATATAGTTTCAAAATTGACAATAATTAGTAATTATTGTCAAATTTAAGACGAAATGTTGGTAATTTGTTGTGTACAGTACCTTTTTTGACCACCAGATGGCCGTATAAGACTGTTTGAACCAAAGGATGGATAGTGAGGGAGCAAGCAACGTGTCTCTTTAAGAAAAATGGAAGGGAGGCCCCTTGACATGACATGGGCCGTCTCTCCTTCCTTTTTTCGGTCCTTAAAATGGCGGACACTATGTGTAGTTTGAGCTCTTTAGCATAGCCAACAAAGTCCATGCTCAATAATCCAGGCATACAATCCAACAATTTTCAGTCAGGTCATCTGGACAATTTCTTTTTTTGTGCTGAAACGTTTCACTTTCCATCCAGAAGGCTTCATCAGTCAAGGAAACACACAACACAAAACTAATTCATCCCCCAACAGCTTACTCCAAAGTGGAACAAACCAGTTATGTTGGTGATAAGATGGTCTCTTTGGCACGCCCCCTGCTCCGGTACAGACCCTTTTCCTCGTCGACATAAATGTCAAACTGGTTCAAAACCAACCATTTAATGGGTAACAGGCATTGCAGTTGCTTGTCTATTAACCATCTTACTACAGCGGTGTTCTTGACCTTTGTACTGTGTAAATACTAAAGTATACGTGGAATGGTAAAAGTATCAACATTTAGTCAAATGATGCTGAAAACCAAATGTCATTCCTTTAACAAACATGGGCATTGAAGCAACTAATGTGAAATCTGCTTTTGTGGGTTTGGTTTAGACTTTGCTTGAAGACAAAGAGAACAGAAACTTAATTGCCAAAGCAGAGAAAAAGGGGAGCACTAGAAAGAAGAATGCCTAGCTCATGAGTGAAACCATGGCAAAATACCATCAGAAGACTGACCTTTGAGCATTACAACGGGCTCATGGGAATATTGCTATAAGAGCATCACAGATACACTGCAACAAATATTTTATATGAGGGTTTTTGGTTTGTTGGTCTAGTCATCACCTTAACTCATCCAACATTTCTGAGAGCTTCATGACTTTTTTAGTAACTTAAACTTTCACAGAACTGAATTTTTCACATATGGATCTTTGAGACCTAAAATCAGCAAGTGACCTCTTCTACAATGATCAGAAAAACTTAAGATATAGAAGTTTTTTTGAAATTGTGCACTATAGACATATTTCTTAAGAGCAGCAGGTTCCCGAATGGGTTTGAGCTAACATTAACTCATCTATAATTCACAGACAAGTCTCCCTCTGCCCTGCAAGTATGAAACAACCATTAACATTCAACAAGATGAGTTCCCACTGCATACATGAGACGGGCATAAAAACGCAATAGAAATCTCACTTGTATTTGCACTGCAACCATTTTA